TACCCAGCATAGGAAAATGAAGCGGCGATTTAAATAATCGCCGCTTCATTTAAATTTACATGCCTGCCGTGCTGAGCCGATCAGCTTTTTGTCAGCTGAGCGCGGTAGTCTGGACGTTCCGTGGTCGACATCAAAGGCATTTGTCGACCACCCAGGTATGCCTCATCTCAGGAGGCATACCTGGGTGGTGGACAAATGCCTTTGATGTCGACCCCCGCGCGTCCAGACTACCCCGCTCGGCAGCCATGTAAATTTAAATGAAGTGGCGATTATTTAAATCGCCGCTTCATTTTCCTATGCCGGGTAGTCTAATCTACATGCCTCTGTCGCCAGAGGCATGTAGTCTAGACGTACCCTTAGAGATGTCCTATTAGTCCCTTTAGTGACTCAGCATAGCTTCTGTCTTTGCTCAGCTTCATCTCCTTACTTGTAAGTGGATCCCCTCATGTAAATTTAAATGAAGTGGCGATTATTTAAATCGCCGCTTCATTTTCCTATGCCGGGTAGTCTAATCTACATGCCTCTGTCGCCAGAGGCATGTAGTCTAGACGTACCCTTAGAGATGTCCTATTAGTCCCTTTAGTGACTCAGCATAGCTTCTGTCTTTGCTCAGCTTCATCTCCTTACTTGTAAGTGGATCCCCTCAGACCAGTCTACACAATTTTGCTTCTCTTTATTCTTTGCCCCTTATACACAATGACTGTGCCCCCCCATAGCTATTACTGAGCTAAGCCCTACATATTCAGTTCTTCTAAGTCAGTCATTCCATCAGCTGAATCTCTTTTGTCCCTTCATTGGATTTTGTCAGCAGCTGGATTCCCCTGCTGGGAAGAATCAGTTTGATGGCAGCTTCCGCTGTGAGGGCAGTCAGGGCTCACGAGCGAGCAGAACAGTGACAGGCCTTTGTCACACAGTGCAGTGACTCCGCACTGTGGCATTGCCAGCATTTGCCATCCTCTGTCTCAGGGATGGAGCAGGCCTAGTTGCTTCAATTTCCCTGCAAAAGTCTTTATGGAGTTTGCTGTAGCCATAGGCACCTGTTTGTTGGGCAGTTGGGGAACTGGATGGCATGTCTATGCTGAGGTCGTCCAAGCTGTCACTGTCTCTCGCCTTTGCCTGCCTCTCTCTGCAGCCTCTATCCAGCTCGGGCCTTTCAGCAGGCAGCCAATTAGAGAAAAATCCCACTGTGTGGCTAGCTCCAAACAGCCACTTTGCCAAGGCCTGGGCTGACCCGTGCTCTGTTGCAGATGGGCCATCACTGCCTCCTCCGCCGGGAAGAGGTGGAAGGGGAACTGGGGCAGCTTGTGGAGATGTGGAGTGGACGTGAGGCAGGAGCTGTGCCATTTGGAGCTGTGGGAAGCTGCACAGCCCTGACAGGAGGAGGAAGCTTCTTAGGAAGGCTCTGTCTCGAGCCCCAAATTTTCATGGAGTGGGGGGGGAGGAGCGGTCTCTCCAGCTCCTGAATATTCATCTCAGCCTGGGCTGCAAACAGGGTTGAGCTAGAAACAGCCAACTGCTGTGTTCCACAGTAGCTGTGCTACGGATGGAGCCAGGAACAGCCTGCTTGCTCCAGCCCCTGGGATGCCTGCCTTGTTCAGATGCCAGGTAGGTGAAGAATCTTCAGAGATCTAAGCCATGTGACTTGCCTGCCACCTAAGGAACAGGGGCCTCTGGAGCAGCCTTCTGGACAAAGCAAACCTTAGGTCTTTAAAGGGACAGTGTACTAAATCATACTGTCATATTTTGCTCCAACATCCACTTTCCCCACCTGTTTATTCTTGTTAACCCCAGGAATCTGTCTCAAAGAAAGGTGCCTCACCTTCTCTAAGGGGCATTTGTTTGCACCCAAGCTTTTCAGCACCTTTTTCTCCTTCTCTTTCCTTTCTCCTCTCCTTTCCTTCCCAGCTGGAGTAGCTGTGACCCTAGTCCAGGAATGGGTTGGAGGCAGACCTGTAGCCTAGGCCTGCTACACAGCAGATTCATTCAAAATCATAATTAGGTTCCAACTCACTGTGTTTGCCAGGTCATTTTGGGATTATTTCCTCCCTGAGTTTATATAAAACTAGGTACACACTGTGCATCTTGAGGTGAAGGCATCATGGGAATATCTGCAACAGGAAATTTTTCATGTTCTTCAACCTGATCTCCTCTCCTCTTCCCACTTCTCCTTCAGTAATGCAGCTTGGATGTGGTCAGTGCTGGAGCAGTGAACTTGAGAGTTCATGCTCTCTCTTGTGGGATCCTGGGAGCAGGGAGGTTATGAGATGGGGCGGGACATACTGAGCCTTTACCATAACCAACTATTGTGGACTATGCCTCTGGCAACTCTGGATAGATTTATGTGCTTTGTTCACTATTCAAATTATTTTAGGCCAAGCTCATCTCCCTACCCTGATGGGGGGCAGGTACATCTAATGGCTGGGATTGCAGTAGGATGTAGCATATTCACTGGCATCCTGGGCTATAACCAAACAAAATCTCACCTGCTGTTATGTCCTTGCTCTTGCTGGGTGGGAGAGCCCCATCTGGTGAAATAGAGAGGCTGCACCCAACATTCTGATCAACCTGTGCAAACACCCTTAGCTCAGACTTCAGTGGGAGATAGGGTCTGGGAAGAGAGGGTACTGGAAATGCTCAAGAGAAGAACAGAAAAACCTAGGGAAGAGCCTGAAAATGGAAACAGATGAAAGGCTAATTGCTTCTGAAAGAGAAAAGGACAGATGACAGAGAAATCAAGCTCCAGGGATCAGAAAGAGATTTCCAGCTGCAGCTTGAGATACATCCAGAGAATCATGCCTTTTGGGAGGAGGCATCTGTTATGAAACTTCTTTATTTCTGTCATTGTAAGCTTTGTTAAACATATTCCCCTTTCATTTAAATGACAGTTTTTCTGAGGGAAATTTGATATTTTTAATCTCTAATAAAATGTGAGCCTGGGCTGGACGAATAGTGATTCTTATATGAAGGGAATTCTTCTCTGCTTATGGGATGATGGCAACCCCATAAGGTTCAAGGTTATTCCAAATGGAGAATCCATGACTGTCTAGTGAGTCCTAATGCAGCACAAATTTGCTTCTCTTGACTTTATTTTGCCTCCAAGTTTCAGAACTTTATTAGCTTATTTTATTATTCAACAATATGCTTTTTTAATCATTGCAAATCAACCTGCCATTGTTTTTCTGTTGAGGGCTGTGAGTGTGTTCTCTCACTGTGTACCATTGGAGAGTGGGACTCCATATTCTGTCTTCTGTCTAGATTCTGAGGGAGTGCTCAATATTCTGTCTTCTTCATGCTGCTGTGGCCTTTTCCTGTTGCAGATATTCCAGTGATCCCAGACTTGGAGGAAGTACAGGAAGAAGATCTTGCCATGCAAGTGGCAGCTCCACCCAGGTAACAGCATAGCCACATGATCACAAGTCTAGAGTCACGGCCTACAGCTGGGGCTCAGCAGGGACTGCTGAAATTAAATCTTGCATTACCTTATGTTCTAGAAAGATTAGTGGCTGTCCTATTCAGTAGGATTTGATGCCATGTGTTATGATAGTGAGTCTGCATGATAGGTAAGGGTCCAGTGTAGTGTTTCCAAATATGTAGCAAAAGTGATTATAGCATATTCTATATACATACAAAAATACATCAAAAGAACAAGATTGAGATTGCAAAGTGGAACCAAAGTTAGGAAATGACCAATTGAAGGTTGCCTATGCAACCTTTAACACTGCTTTCTTGTGTAGATGTATTAACCATTCACTGGTTGATTGTAAATTGTTTTCCTTTATATGATATCTGCCTCATTCAAGTGCCTAGTTAATTTGTGGTGCAAATCCTATTGGTTAAAAGTACTAGTCAAACTAATTCTGGATTTATCTCAAAGGTGACCAGCAAATGGAAAAAAATAACGTTTGTTTTCATTTTATCTTAGCTATATCAGGGAATATCAAATCTGCTCTTTTCTGTGCTGTTGAGTGATTTATTGAATCATATGTATTGGGAGCTTTTATGGCCCTTAATTGTAGAGATATGGTGTCTGAATCTTGAATAAGATGTCTTTCCTCCCAGATGTTTATTGGACATTGAAATTAAATAGGTGTTATCAAAAACAAATGAAGACCGCTTTCATTAAAAATCACTTTGTTTTTCCATCAGATTTTACTTTCTCATTTTCTATCATGTTATGATCCTATCAGTTCTCTGACCATCCATGGAGTCTTTCAGGGTGTAAAAGACACATATTTCTCATGTAAGAAGACAATCAGAAATAAAATTGATGCAGGTCTTCCTTTATATTGTTACATCACACAGAAGGAAAAGCAATCATAACACCCTTTCATCTCTCCCTCCCCCCTTTGCAAGTAACCTTTTAAAAAGCTGCATTGCCTTACTATGACTTCAAAGCCTCCATGAAAACTTAGAGACCTCAGTATGCTGGAAGCTGCATGGTAGGGCTGGCTAGGAGCCAGATGGAACAATCAGACAGCTTTTCTCCTAAACAGCGAGTGCAGTTTTTGCTGTTAGGTTTCCTATGAATATAGCGTCTACTGCTTTGAAGAAGTGTGTATGAGGCTTCCTTGACATTCATGGTACAGTAAATAATAATACTCCATGTCCAAATCTTTGTTCTATTTGGTATGGAAATGGCAGTAGAGAGACTTTTCTGAGATTCCTCTCTACTCATGTATTCCTTTTCTCTTGGGACATGGGTACTCAAGCTGGATGCTCCCAGATTCCCATCCATGTGCACTGCTCTCTAGTGGAGCATGAGGTGCTCCCACACTCAGGCTACGTCTGTACTGCAGCCTTCTTCCGCAAAAGCTTATGCAAATGAAGCGCGGAGTAAACTATCACTGTGCTTCATTTGCATAAATTAATTAATAGCTGTTTTTGCGCAAGAGGCTTTTTTCATATTTTCAGGAAGAACGGCTCTTGCACAATACGGGTTTTTTGCACAAAAACGGCTGCTAATTAATTATGCAAATGACACATGGTGATATTCTGCTCCGGGCTTCATTTGCGTAAATTTTTGTGAAGCCTGTAGTATAGACGTAGCCTTAGCTAGTTGTGTTTCTTGCCCCTCCCTCTTGCAGTATCCAGGTGAACAGAGTGCTGACCTTCCGGGACCTGGATAATGATCTCATGAAGTATGCTGCTTTCCAAACCCTGGTGAGTGGGCGCACCTATCTCGTAGTCAACATAACCCCCTTTGCACCTATCTCTTATCTCCTCATATCCTCCAAGAAAAGCGAGACAGCTACTGATACTTACTACAACCTCCCTAAGGTTTCAAAGACCTGCTCCGCTTTGCTCTGGCAGGGGTCCTACTATGCCTCTGACACTTGATATAAATATCTCCCTTGCACCTTTCTTTGGTGTCCACTTGGAAATGTTGCTCCAATTGCCATTTATTTACACAGTCAGCATCCTTGAGTTTTCCCTTGAGTTTTCTATTAGTCCAATAACATATTACCTCACCCAGCATGGTTCCAGCAATGTTGTGTACATTCCTAGAACACATTGCCTATCCATGTTTCACTGTGCTCTGCTCTTTTCTCTAGTCCTGGGACACATACAGTACTGCTCCTTCCTCAGCCAGGGTCACCTAAAGTGCTGCTCCTTCTCATGCTACCGGAAGCACATGCATCCCGTCCCTCAGTGTCTGGGCTGCTAGTCTGGGTACAGGAATTCTTCATGCTGCTATAGCCCAAAGAGCGTTTTTCAAGCAGGAAGGAAGTCTCCACATCTGTTAACCCAAATGGTGCCAAGCTGTGATTTCCTATCCCCTTGGAGACTGCCATATTGCCAACCCTAAACATTCAAAAATCATAACACAGATCCCCCAAATCATGATGATTTTGGTCTGGTTTTTTAGTCCTCCCCATTTTTCCCCTTCCCCGCCCCCTGTGTTTGTGTGACACAGACACAAAATGGATATACATAGGCATGCAGGTCCTGACTGCCTTATGCATCTGCCAGGCAATACACCCCTCCACAGTTACCAGTTCATCCTCAGTATGTCCCAGCAGCACTTGTCTCAGTCTACAGTAGGGGCTTCCCCAGACTCTTTAATTTAACTCTCCTGGGCTGCGGTGGATGGGTGAAGGTTTTGTTTTTTCTGGGCTCTCACCCACTCAGAATTCTCAGACAAAATTTATACACCCCCAAATCAGGCAGAAATAACAGCACGTGTGACATCACAGTGAGTGTTGCAACACTGGGGTTGGTGTCAGTACTCCTTCCCCATCCCTCTGAGCTGCCCACATCTAGTTGCCACCTGCTAATCCTGTCCCATAAAAAGTCATTTGTCCC